GAGCTTGCAGCTGCCATCCTAGACCTGCTCTTTGGGGAAGCCCACCTAACAGGAAGAGCACACTGGTTTGGAGGTGCCTGTCCTGGAGAATAGGTGGGGAAGGCTTTCTCTGGGATCACATTCAAATAAATCAAGTATTTATTGAGTGCCTATTTTTTACAAGGCACTGCTAGGCTGGTGCCTAGAAACCACGAGAAAGAAGAATTTATAGAGCTAGGAGGACAGAGGTCCCCAATTTGATTTGGGGGATTGCATCCCCAGGCCCCCCAACCAGGGACTTCCAATGCTCCCAACTTCAACTCTGGTGACTTTTAAAGCCGCTTCGTGCCTTTGAATGCCTTTCCTGTGACTTTGGATCCTCCTTTCCTATCTCCTGCTCCCTCAAGGCCCCAAGTTAAAGGGTTAAAGCCGCTGGAGCTTGGGGAGAGGGTAATATTGTGGAAGGGAAAGGATCATGCCCTCATGGAGTCTTTTTGTTTTTTATTATTATTATTATTTAATAAAAATTTCGATTTTAAATTTTGTCCTGGTGAGAAAAGAGAAAGAGGAAGGAAGAAGAGTGAGCCACAGGATTTTTCCTTGGCAAATTGGAGACTCCCCACGGGCATCCTATCCTGCACGTTGGCACACTGTGCCTGCGGCAGAACCCTCGGTCGGCCAGGCCCTCGGGCTGAGGTCAGTCAGTGTTCGAACTCCCAGAGCTCCCCGTCGAGTTGGGAAGGCGGGGAGGAGTTTCCTTCCCTGGCTCTCTCCCGGTCTCTGCTTCCCGACCCCGGCCGGGGTAGGGCCCCGCAGTCGCGGCGCGGACTACCGCGCGGCCCCGAGGGGGTCCCGGCGGGCGGCCCCCAGCCTCGCACGTAACCGCTCCCTGCCCGGGGCCTGCAATCAGCTGTGCCCGCCGCCGAGTTAGCGGACGAACAAAAGCCACTCTGTGGCGGCCAGCCCGGAGCCACAATAGGGCTTTGTGCGGCCCCCGCCCCCGGGCTCCCCCGCGGGGTGAGGGGGCGCACGGGCAGCGCTCCCGGCGACCGTCCCCCCGGCCGGCTCGGGAGACACTGCGGGCGGTTTCAGGCGGCCAGCCCCCTCCTCAGCCTACCGCCGCGGCCGTCCGGGCCGCCCCGGCCAGGTGCGAAACCTCCTGCCCTCCAGCGGGGCGCGCCGCTTCAAAGGCGCTTTGAAGAGGGCCGCGTTCCAGGGCTCCTCCCGCGGGCGGGGGTCCCGAGCGGCGGCGGAAGAGACGTGCGCCCGGCGCTGAGGGCGGGGGTCCCGGGCTTCTGCCCCCCAATTCCGGCCCCCGCCGGGCAGGCTCCTCGGGACCCCCCAGGGCCTGGCCCTCTTGCCACCCGGTCCCCGCCTGTCCGGTGCCAGCCCCCGCCCGCCGCGGCCTCGCGGTCCTCCCCTCCCGGCCCCTCGGCCCCTTTCATCTTCCCTAGACTCCGCTTGGGGTTTTGCTGGTTTCTGGGAGATAAAAACCGCCTCAAATAGCGGCGGCGCGCTGCCAGGACAAACAGGGCCAGGCGGGCCATGTGCGCCTGGTTACCGGCCCTGAGCCGGGGCGCCGGGCCTCCGCAGGCCGAGCTCCGGGGCGCCCAGACTTTGGCGGCGCCTCCCGCCTCCCAAAGTCAGGGACCCCTTTAGGAGACTCGGGCAGGGGCCCGGTGCTGCCTCGGTTTCCCGCCCAGGTCGTAGGGTGCCCCCCCCGCAACCCCCGGACTCGGGGAGTGGAGACCGCCCGCTGAGCGCTCTGAGTCCGTGGGGCGGTGGGTCACGGTCACTGTGTCGCTGGGGCCACCGCGCCCCCTGGTGAAGTAAGTGGGAAGTGCGCTGGGCCTGGATGTCGGCCTCCCAAGAAATCTGCAAACCCTGAAAACACTGAACAAACGTTAAGTATGGGGGAGGCGGGGTGGGGGGCGAATATGAATACACAGCGCACTGTTCCTCCTCCCCAGTTCATATTACAGGGTGAGTGGCAGGCACTGAAACCCGTAATTACAACACAACCTGTTAGTAGGAATCAGGCTTCACCAAAGGGAGGTGCAAGTTGCAGGCCCGGTCCAAGGTGATTTCTTGGGGGGTATCTGGGGTTGGATGGTGGCATAATTGAGTACAAAAACTTTGTGGGTGGGTTCTCAGTGCTCTTCACTAATTTGTGAGAGTCAGGGTCTCGCTCTCCTCCTCTAAAGCCTGCACTGCCTCCCCCTTTCTTTTTCTTTTCTTTTTTTTAAAAGATTTTATTTATTTATTTGACAGAGAGAGAGAGGGAGAGAGATCACAAGCAGGCAGAGAAGCAGGCAGAGAGAGAGGGGGAAGCAGGCTCCTTGCTAGGCAGAGAGCCTGATGCAGGGCTCGATCCCAGGATCTGATCATGACCTGAACGGAAAACAGAAGCTTTAACCCACTGAGCCACCCAGGCGCCCCTACCTCCCCCTTTCAAGTAGACCTTTTTTCAGCAAGTTTCCCCAAACAACCCTGTTTTTACTCTAGGCTCTTTAAGTTTTCTGTGACTTTCCAGATGACAGTGAACTAACCTAGAAAATTAAACTGGGGCTGCTCAAAATTTGGTCTGTGCAGTATCACCTGGGGGCGTTTTGGAAATACAGTTTGCTTGAGAGCTCCACCCCAGAATCTGTATTTTATCAAGATACTCCTGTGTGTCTGTTGTGTTCACTAACATTTGGGAAGTACTAGCGTAGAGGAGACCCATGGCTTTCTCTGTGTTAAGGGCATTTGCAGAGAAGTCTTCTTGTTTTCTGACCCTGGGGTAACTCTCTTAGGGGCAACTTTTCATGTAGAAGGGAAGAGCAGACAGAGCCCAAGAATGCTAAACTTAGAATGCCCCCTCAATTTTCCAACTAGGGCAACTCTCGGGAGTGGGGACTATGCTTTATACATTTCTGTGTCCCCAGAGCATGGTCGTTTGAATTGCCCATCAACCCTTATTAAATGAACAAACCAAAGCGCAAGGTCACCGAGTTCATGGCAGAGTTAGGGCTAATCAACTGTTTAGTACTTAAAATTTATTAAATGGCTTCATTTCCATTATTTAGTACAGGAAACAACCATGGGAAATAATTAGGACACTGCAAAAGTGACAAAGCTGAAGCCCGAAGAATTCAAACACTTTCCCAAATCACACAGCTTTAAGAGGAGTATCTATTCTGCAATCTAGTTCCATCCTTTGGAATCAGAATAAAATCAATCTCACTTTTCTTCTTTAATATTTAAAAGAGAGAGACAGAACACGAACACAAGCCAGAGGTGGGGGCAGAAGGAGAGGGACAAGCAGACTCCCTGCTGGGCAGGGAGGCAGAGGTGGGGCTCTGGTCCCAGGACTTTGGGGTCATGACCTGAGCCCAAGGCAGACAATTAGCCACTCGGGAGCCTCTCTTTTTCTTCTTTATTAAAAAATATATTTTATTTATTTTTTAAGTGAACTCTACACCCAGCATGGGGCTGAAACTTGGCACTCCCAGATCAAGAGTCGCAGGCTTCACGGACTGAGCCAGCCCAGAGCCCCAATCTCATTTTTATTCTTAAATTAGAATGCCTGGTTTTGGTATAATCTCTGTGTGTCACTTTCCTCATGGTGCTAGAACAGTACCCACCTCATGGGGCTGTTGTAAAGATTATACAAACCCTTGGGGCGCCTCAGTGGCTCAGTGGGTTAAGCCTCTGCCTTCTGCTCAGGTCTTGATCCCAGGGTCTTGGGATGGAATCCTACATAGAGCTCCTTGCTCAGAAGGGAGCCTGCTTCTCCCTCTGTCTCTCATGAATAAATATGTAAAATATTTAAGAAAAAAACAGATTATACAAGTACTTTATAATAGGTGCTCAGGAAACGTCACTGTTTTCCAACTCACTCGCCCTCCACCGGTAACCCCTGGGGCCTGAGGTTTTGGTTGGCACATCCCTCTCCCTCCAAAGGTCTCTCCTGCCTGACTTTATTCCTCCTGGAGGCTTTTCCCTCAGCTTCCCAGCCAGCTGCCCCAAACAGTCCGAATTTTCCTCGGGATGATCCACAGTCCTGGCAGGGTTTAATTAGATACTTTCTTGAACGTGTCTAATTTTGGGCTTTCCAAGCATTTAGAGGGTGAGTGGGAAACTGTGTTGGGGAATTCGGAATTGGGGGGGGGGGAGCAGTCTCACGGAAAACACACACACACACGTCCACCCTGACAACACACACACACACACACACACACACACACCCACACACACACCCACACACCCACACACACCCCTTAACTAGGGGCTGACCCCGCGGACATGCTCGCGCCGCTCCCCCTCCGGCCACCAGGCGGCGCGCGAGGACGCTCTGGAAGTCTGTCCCGGGACTGAGCACGCGTTCGTGTTCTGCGTTACTCTTCCCCTCACTTCCGTTGAATTTTGCAGCGCCGTTTGTCCCACACGGCTACCCGTACGGATCCGAATCTAGCCCGGGAACTAAGAGTTAGGGAAGCGCGATCCGTGAGTTCACCGATTCCAGACGTCATCGAGACCGACAAGATGTGCTCCCTGGGATTGTTCCCTCCGCCGCCGCCTAGGGGTCAAGTCACCCTATACGAACACAATAACGAGTTGGCGACAGGCAATAGCTATGAGAGTCCGCCTCCCGACTTCCGGGGCCAGGTGGCCGGAGCGAGGAGGGAGGGGACCGACAGGCATGGGGGCGGGGCCCGGGAAAATGGGGGACCTGAGGCCTCGCAGCCGGGCGGGGTTCGCGGTCCTCAGCCTGGCCCAGGAAGCATCCTGGCCCAGACTTGAGACTAGAAGGGCTGGAATGTATTTTAGGGTTGGGATTGGAGGGTGAGGGATGTTGAGGAGCTGTGGGGCGGCTCTAGAGGGAATGGAGAGAATGAGGGAGAATTCAAGGGATATGAGGGTGTAGGAGAACTATTGAAAAGTTGAGGACAGCATCTGGGAGAGCTGGGAACGCACAACCTGGAGTGTTGGGTTTTTTTTTTTTTGTTTTGTTTTTTGTTTTTTGTTTTTTGTTTTACCACGGAGTTCCTGGGAAAGAAAAGGGAGAGAAACAACTATTTATTGAGCGTTTGCTATGTAAGAAAGCGACTGAGTCAGGTGTGCGTCACACATGTTATAAGATCTAATAATCACAGCAACCGGATGAACTATGCCAGTTTTACAGATAAGGGAGTTAAGCTCTGTTTCACTTTCCCACAAGGATTAGGTTTATGGGATGGGAAACAGGTCTCCGGAGCCTCTTACTCCTAGCCCAGCTGCGGTTTGGAGATGGCAAGGAGTTCAGCAGAGATCTGGGGAAGAGACTGACTCATTGTCACACCTCTCACTTCTGGCCTGTAGTGGATCAATCTTCCTGTCCTGAACCTGACGAAGGATCCCCTGAAGACCCCTGGGAGGCTGGACCATGGCACAAGAACTGCCTTCATCCATCACCGGGAGCAAGTGTGGAAGAGATGCATCAACGTATGGTGAGACGTGGCAAAGGGTCTCCTGGACCATGGTCTGCAGATCCTGGAGAAGCTGGGGTCACCTTCCCCCTGCCTTGGGCTGCCAGGCTCTGTCTAGCTCAGTCCTGTATATCATTTACTATAACAAATTAGCAGTCCTTATTGGAAAACCTAAGTTGACAGAAGTTCATTTCATCTCCAGTGACTTGCTTTCTGGTGTAAGTGAGCCTGCTCCCTACCCCCTCTTTGTGTCTTTAGCACTTTCTGAGCCTTTTACCTGAAGCTCAGCAAGGTTAGGGATAATGCTGCAGTGAATAATTTCATATTTAGGTCATTCATTTAGCACGTTTAGGGGTGGAGCCGTACTGCCTGGATTCCGTTCCTGGCTGTGTCACTCTGTAGCTGTGTGATCTTGGGAAAGTTACATAATCACTTGGTCCCTCACTTTCCAAACCATCTGTAAAACGGGACTGATTTTACAAGGTTGTAGTGATGATGAAATGAATTAATGGATATAAAGCACTCAGAGAACAGTGCCTGGCACATATTAAGACCTTCAAGGGTTAGTTATTATCACTGTCACGTGTAGAATAAATTCCTACAAATCTAGTAGGAGGCTTCAAAGGGTATGTCCATTTGTAATTTCATGAGCTGTTGCCAAATAGTCCTCCATTGAAATTCTACATATTTACAGTCCCACACATGGTACCAGATTTAGATATTTGTTGTCATAATACCATTTAATTTGTTTGTTATCATAATACCATTTAATTTGGACATCTTTGTGTGAGTTAAGTTAAACAGCCATTTATTGTTTGATAAGTCATTCAGTCCCAGGCTCTTTCCCACTGCCTACCTCTTCAGCTGCTGGTTCTCTGCCTTTTCTGTCCCACCTCTTTCTGATGTCCCTGAAGGGGTGGTTTCCTGGGCTGGACTCACAAGTTCAGACCTGGGTGTTCCCTTGTCTGCCAGACACCCTCACTTGGCTCTTCTGCAGGCTTTCACTCACTCAGCATGTTCAAAGCCAATCTCTTCATTTTCCTTTCCAAACCTGCTTCTACATTGTGTTGTTCGTCTCAAGGAATGGCCTTACTACTCATTTGGGAACAGGTGGCTTGAGTGTAGGCTCTGAGGCAGACAGGTTGAATCCTGATGCTGCTACTTCCTACCGAGGTCATATTGATAATATCAACCTCTTCATGCCTCTCTTCTCTCACCTAAAATTGCGGTTGTTAACAATAGCTATTTTGTAGGGTTGTGATAGCGGCTGGTTTAGATAATTCGTGCAAAGCTTCTGGCCCGGCCTTGGCAAACCATGGGCAGTATTAGCTTCTGTAATTATTATGTAGGCATTTCCCTTGGTGTTACTCTTACTAATGTCTAGTTAGCCCTCAAATTCTGTTCATTCTACTTCTTCAGCCTCTCAGATCTGTCTGCTTTCTCCAGCCCTGTTGGTTCAGGGCACTTTGGCCTTTTTTCCAGATTCCTGAAGTAGCCTCTTAACCCGTCTCCTCCTCTCCACTTTTGCGCCCCTTTAATTTGTAGCCAGACTGATCTTTCTAAAATGCCAGTGTGTGTGTGTGGGGGGGCATGCTTGGGTGGCTCAGTTGGTCGAGTGTCCGACTCTGGGTTTCTGCTCAGGTCATGAGATGGAGCCCTCTTCAGGCTCCGTGGTCAGTGGAGAGTCTGCTTGAAGGTTCTCTCCTTCTGCCCCTCCCCCAACTGGCAACACACATGCCCATGCTTGCTTGCTTCTCTCGCTCTCTTTCTCCCTCAAATAAATAAATATTTAAAATGCTGATGTGGTCAGTTTATTCCTCTGCTTAAAATCCTTCCATGGTGGGGCACCTGGCTGGCTCAATCAGTACAGCATGACTGTTGATCTCAGGGTTGTGAGTTTGAACCCATGTCGGGTGTAGAGATTACTTGAGAAAAACCAAAAATCTTCCCATGGCTTTCCATTCACAGTCTTAGGGCAGGACTTGATCCCCTGACCTACTCACCAAGCCCTGAAAGATCTCTGAGGCTAGTTGCCTTGTTGGTAAAATGAGCAGAATGCCATTCAGATTCGTGTGATAAGTACATGAAAGGATAATAAATAAAGTGCATGGCACATACTTGGCACTCATTAAATGTGAGTGCTTCTTTTTTTTTTTTTTTTTTTAAGATTTTTGTTATGTTGTATTATTTTAAGTAGGCTTCACACCCAGCATGGAGCCCATTTAAGGGGCTTGAACTCAAGACCCTGAGGTCAAGACCTGAGCTGAAATCAAGAGTCAGGTAGTTAACAGGCTGAGCAACCCAGGTACCCCAAAGATTTTATTCGCTTATTTTTTTTTTAATATTTTATTAATTTATTTGTCAGAGAGAGGGAGGGAGAGAGAGCACAGGCGGCAGAGTGGCAGGCAGAGGCAGAGGGAGAAGCAGGCTCCCTGCTGAGCAAGGAGACCGATGTGGGTCTCGATCCCAGGATGCTGGGATCATGACTCGAGCCAAAGGCAGCTGCTTAATTGACTGAGCCACCCAAGGGTCCCTGAAGAGTTTAAGTGATCTCTACACCCACTGTGGGGCCTGAACTCACAACCAGAGGTTAAGAGTCACACACTCCACCAACTGAGCCAGCCAGGCGCCCCTGAGTGCTCTTATTTTTAGTAAGTTACTGAATGAGTATAACTTGTAGAGGGAGACCAAAAGGGTCAGAGTAATCTGACTCCCAGCTTCCTCTCCTCAGGCGTGATATGGGCCTTTTTGGGGTGCTGAATGAAATTGCGAACTCAGAGGAGGAAGGTAAATATTTTTCCCTCCCGACTTCTCTGGTTTTATGGTTGGCACCTCCTCTCATATTCTTCCCAATCCATCCCAATACCTCTTGGCCCAGTCCCCTTCCCTTTAGCATTCTTTTTCCTGTCCCAGTTTTCTATTCTGGTGCCGTCTTTTCTCCTCTCTGCCTACGTCACATATCCTGAGTGGGTGTCCCAAGTATGGGTTGGGTGGAAGACCCTGGGGAATGCTTGTCCTTTCCTTGCTCATTCCTTATCCAAGGGTGCCCAGTGACAGCCCTGTGAATGGTTTAATCAGAGCTGCTTCCTCAACCCCACAGTGTTTGAGTGGGTGAAGACGGCGTCCAGCTGGGCCCTGGCACTCTGTCGATGGGCCTCCTCCCTCCACGGGTCCCTGTTCCCCCATCTGTCTGTAAGTCGGGCTTCCTCCCCTGGCCCTCTGGTTGCTGCTCCCCTATTCCTGCCCTCTTCCACTTTTCATCCCTTAAGTTCAGGGTGGGATGGGAAGAAGGACTGCAGAGGGTGGGAATAGTCCAGCTCCCCTGTGGGAAGTCGAGGGAATAAGCTTCTTTGGTCCCAGCGCATCCTCTGTCCACTTTGTTCTCATAGCTCAGGAGCGAAGATCTGATTGCTGAATTTGCCCAAGTCACAAACTGGTGAGTGTACAAGCTCTGAGGCTTTTGTGGGAAAGAAGTCCTGAACCTTGGAACTTCTCAGTGGGAGAGGGAAGTCAAGCCACACACCCCTTCCACCCTTTCCTATTACCCACATTCTTATTCTCCCCCAAAAAAATAAAAAGTGAAAAATAGTAATGTCCTCACGTGAAAGGGAATCTGAGCCTCTGGGCTGGGGGATGGGTTCAGGCCCCTCATGCTCTCTTCGGCCCAGGTCCAGCTGCTGCTTGCGGGTCTTTGCCTGGCACCCCCACACCAACAAGTTTGCAGTGGCCCTGCTAGATGACTCAATCCGTGTGTATAATGCCAGCAGGTACGTGGACGCCTACTGGGTGGGCTCCCACTCTTTGGTCTCCGTAAGTCAGTCTCCTTCTCCAACCTTGATTCCAGGGCTCCTGTAGGTTCCTGCGCCTGAACTCTCTACATGTTTCCTGTTTCCAGATCTACTCTTTATCCTATGCTTCTGTCCCACGATACCCCTGTGCTCTGGGTGGTCAGCTTCCTTCTCTTGGCTTTCCCTCCTCAACTGAACTCCGGTCCCCTGAGCTGTAGTGTTCCTGCTTTGACTCAGTCCTGTAACTTTCACCACAGCACTATAGTCCCGTCCCTGAAGCACCGGCTGCAACGAAACGTGGCGGCCCTGGCCTGGAAGCCCCTTAGTGCCTCTGTCCTGGCTGTGGCCTGCCAGACCTGCATTCTCATCTGGACCCTGGACCCCACCTCTCTGTCTACCCGGTAAGTCCCAGCAGCCTCTGTCTTCCCTTGGCTGGAGGCTTGTGGCTATATTAGCAGTGGGGGGTGGCAAGTAGGTCTGGAAATTCTTTTTTTTTTTTTTTTTTTAAATTAAAAGATTTTATTTATTTATTTGGCAGACAGAGATCACAAGTAGGCAGAGAGGCAGGCAGAGAGAGAGAGAGAGGAGGAAGCAGGCTCCCCGCCGAGCAGAGAGCCCGATGCGGGACTCGATCCCAGGACCCTGAGATCATGACCTGAACGGAAGGCAGAGGCTTTAACCACTGAGCCACCCAGGCGCCCCAGTCTGGAAGTTCTTTATCTTCACAGCACTTCCCAGGGCGGTGGGAGAAGCAGACCTATGGTCAATGTTGAGCTGCTGAGAATGCTAGAATCTAGAGGAAGGGACAGAACTAGGAGCTTCTGGAATTGTGGGGAGTGTATATAAATATATGTACATGATCATGGAGTAGAAAGACTGCCTTTTCCAGAGGACTGTCAGATGTAGGTTTAAAGGCAGTAGGGGCGGGAATTCATATAGGCATAAGTTGAAATTAAGAAAATTGGAAAAAGAATCTTCATGAGAACTAAGTAAATATTAAATCAGAAACTGGTCCTTTATTATTTATTTCTTTTAAAGATTTTATTTATTGGGGCGCCTGGGTGGCTCAGTGGGTTAGGCCTCTGCCTTCGGCTCGGGTCATGATCCCAGGGGTCTGGGATCGAGCCCCGCATCCGGCTCTCTGCTCTGTGGGGAGCCTGCTTCTCCCTCTCTCTCTGCCTGCCTCTCTGCTTACTTGTGATCTCTGTCAAATAAATAAATAAAAATCTTAAAAAAAGAAAATAAAAAAAAAAAAAAGATTTTATTTATTTATTTGACAGAGTGAGAGAGATCACAAGTAGGCAGAGAGGCAGGCAGAGAGAGAGGGGGAAGCAGGCTCTCTGCCGAGCAGAGAGCCCCGATGCGGGGCTCGATCCCAGAATCTGATCATGACCTGAGCGGAAGGCAGAAGCTTTAACCCACTGAGCCACCCAGGCACCCCTGGTCCTTTATTTTTATTTTATTTTATTTTTTAAAGATTTTATCCATTTACCTGATAGGGAGAGACAGTGAGAGAGGGAATTCAAGCAGGGGGAGAGGGAGAAGGAGAAGCAGGCTCTCCACTGAGCAGGGAGTCCGAGGTGGGGCTCAATCCAAGGACCTTGGGACCATGACCCAAGCTGAAGGCAGACGCTCAACGACTTAACCACCCAGGCACCCCAGAAACTGGTCCTTTAAATTATGAGTAAAGAAGAAAACCTTATGGCCAGCCTTATTAGGGTAAAAGAAAATCAGAGTACAGTATTTTTAAGAATGGCAAGGAATATGGAAGATATGGAAGAAATTAGAAGAATTATTACAAAATATCATGTATAAGTTAGACCATCACATTGAAAATCTAAAGGAAAATTTTTTTTAAGGATTTTATTTATTTCAGAGAATGAGACAGAGAGAGAGAAAGTGCAAAAGAGTGGGGAGGGTCAGAGGGAGAAGGAGACTCCCCGCCGAGCAGGGAACCTGTGGCAGGACTCAGTCCCGGACTTCAAAATCATGACCTGAGCCGAAGGCAGTTTTCAACCAACTGAGCCACCCAGGTGCCCTAAAGTAAATATTTGATTCTCTACCAAAATCTGTAACCAGAGTGGATTGTGTAAGAAATTAAAACAGATGAGCTCTATCATTAAAAAAATAAAATAAAATGCCATGCATACATGGCTTTATGAGAGTTCTATCTGATTTCAAAGAAAAGATAACCTCCATGTTGTATGTGTGTGTTTTTTATTTTTTAAGATTTTATTATTTTTTGTGTCAGAGAGAGAGAGCACAAGCAGAGGGAGTGGAGAGAGAAGAAGTGTCCCTTCTGAGCAGGAAGCCCAATGCGGGAATTGATCCCAGGACCCTGGGATCATGACCTGAGCCAAAGGCAGACTCTTAACTGACCAAGCCACCCAGGCATCTCTGTTTGTTTTTGAAGTAGGCTCCATGCCCAGCCCATAGTGGGGCTTGAACTCATGACCCTGAGATTACAGTCACATGCTCTACTGACTGAGTGATCCAGGCTCTCCTCCACGTTATTTGAACTAGACCAAATCACAGAAGAATTTGGAAATTTTTGGAAATCAGGCTCCTGTTTTTTTTCTTTTAATAAACTTTATTTTGGCATAATTTTAGATTTTTAGAATAGCTGCAAAGATAGTACAGAGAGTTTTGAATATCCATCACCCAGTTTCACCATTTTTTTTTTTTAGATTTTTAAAAATATATTCACTTGAGAGAGCGTGAATGAGAGAGAGTGAGCATGCGAGCACATGAACCCAGGGGCAGAGGGAGAGGGAAAAGCAGACTCCCACTGAGCCCAGAGCCTGATGCAGGACTGGATCCCAGGATCCTGGGGTCATGACCTGAGCTGAAGCCAGACGCTTAACCAGCTGAGCCACCTAGGCAGCCCTGTTTCACCCACTGTTAACATCTTATGTTACCATGTGACATTTGTCAACACTAAGAAACTGATGTTTATACGTTCTTAACTAAACTCAGACTTTCTTCAGATTTCACCAGTTTTTCCATTGATGTCCTCCTCCTGTCCCAGAATGCATCCCGGTTTATTTTTATAAAGCTCAACCCTAAAACCTAAACCTGACAATAAGTAGTATCAGAAAGACAGTATTTCATTTTTAAATATTTAATTTATTTATTTGACAGAGAGAGAGAGAACACAAGCAGGGGGAGCAGCAGAGGGAGAGGGGAAAGCAGACTTCCCCCTGAGCAGGGAACCTGATGTATGGCTCAATCTTGGGACCCTGGGATCATGATCTGAGCCTAAGGCAGAGGCTTAACCACACTGAGCCACCCAGGTGCCCCTATTTTTATTTATATTTCTAAAAGATTTTGGTTATTTATTTGACAGAGACGCAGCGAGAGAGGTAACACAGGCAGGGGGAGTGGGAGAGGGAGAAGCAGGCCTCCCACTGAGCAGGGAGCCCGACACAGGACTGGATCCCAGGACCCTGGATCATGACCCGAGACAAAGGCCAATGCTTAATGACTGAGCCACCCAGGTGCTCCCTTTTTATTTTATTTATTTAAAGATTTTATTTATTTGACAGAGAAATCACAAGTAGGCAGGCAGAGAGGAGGAAGCAGGCTCCCCGTGGAGCAGAGAGCCTGATGCAGGGCTCGATCCCAGGACCCCGGGATCACAACCTGAGCTGAAGGCAGAGGCTTAACCCACTGAGCCACCTAGGTGCCTCTTTATTTTATTTATTTTTAAAATTATTTATTTATTTATTTGACAGAGAGAGATCACAAGTAGGCAGAGGGGCAGGCAGAGGTGGGGGGGGGGGACCAGGCTCCCTGCTGAGCAGAGAGCCTGATGCGGGGCTTGATCCCAGAACTCTGAGATCATGACCTAAGCTGAAGGCAGAGGTTTAATCCACTGAGTCACCCAGGGACCCTCCTCTTTTTATTTTTACTTAAGATTTTATTTTTTTAGGGGTGCCTAGGTGGCTCAGTGGGTTAAAGCCTCTGCCTTCGACTCGGGCCATGATTCCAGGGTTTGGGGATCCAGCCCCACATCAGGCTCTCTGCTTAGCAGGGAGCCTGCTTCCTTCTCTCTCTCTCTCTCTCTCTCTCTGCCTGCCTCTCTGCCTATTTGTGATTTGTATCTGTCAAATAAATAAATAAATAAAATCTTAAAAAAATTTTTTTATTTTTTTAAGTAATCTTGTGTTCAATGTGGGACTTGAACTCGCAACCCCAAGATCAAGCATTGCATGATCTACCTACTGAGCCAGCCATTATCACTGGTATTTTATTTTATTTTATTTTTTTGCCATTGTTACTGTTATTAATCAACATTATTTTGGGAGATTCTAGTGAGTGCAGTCAGACAAGAAAAAAGGTGAAGTCTTGAAAACAAAGGGAAAATTATTATTCTTTGAAGATATGATTTCATACCTAGATAAAACAAGTGACTCTGCTAAGAAAACCTATTTGATCTAATAAGAAATTTAAATGTAGTAAGGTGACTAGATCCAGGAAACCAAAAGTGTAATAGTTTCTTTTTATACCTACAGTCATCACTGAGAAATTGAAATGGAAAAAATATTCTACTTACAATGTGTGCAGTTACCAAAATCACTGGGAATGAATCGTTAAATTTATTTAACCTACTAGACATTTGGAGGAAGTTGTGGAAGAACATTAAGCAAGAGCTGACTAAATGGAGAGACACACTGTATGCCTGGACAGGAAGGTGTATCATCATAGAAATGTCCAATTAAGTGGACTTGGAACCAGAATTTTGCTGTGTTTTGTCTTTCTGAACTGGGCAAAATGATAATCAGAGTTTTTATTAAAGAATAAATATGGAAGAATTGCCAAGAGAATTTTGAATAGGAAGAATATAGAGGGGAGACTTGCCCTACCAAGTATTAAATATCTTAGGAAGTTACAGTAATGCGAAGTAATTGGCAGGAAGATAGACAAACAGATCAGCATAGCTGTGTAACATTCAGGAACAGCTCTAAGAATATATGAGAATTTAATATATGAGAAATGTGGCTTTTCATTTCAATGAAGTTTAGATTTTTTTTTTTATTTTAGTAGTGTTGGGATAATTGGCTATCCATTTAGGAAATAATAAAGGTAGTCCTTGCTTCACACTTTTTCTATACAAATAAATTTCAAGCAGACAGAAGAACTAAAGGAAAAAATAAAAGAACTCGAAGAAATACAGAATTTTTTTTTTTTTTTTGAAAATACATAATATTGGAGTGCCTGGGTGGCTCAGTTGAGTAAGCCCTTGTTGGGCTTGCTGCTTGCTGGAGAACTTGCTTCTCCCTCTGCCTGCTGCTCCCCCTGCTTGTGTTCTCACTCTTGTTCTATCTCAAATAAATAAATAAATTCTTAACAACAAAAAAAAGAAAATACATAATAATTTTTAATCATTCAGAATGCTATTATTAAAATTTTAATTTTTTTTATTACTTAAAAAAATTTTATTTTTTTAAGATTTTATTTATTTGACAGAAAGATCACAAGTAGGCAGAGAGGCAGGCAGAGAGAGAGAGAAGCAGGTTCCCCGCTGAGCAAAGAGCCCAATATGGGGCTCGATCCCAGGACCCGGAGACTGACCCGAGCCGAAGGCAGTAGCTGGGTTGAGTGGGTTGTAGTAGTAGTAGTGGGTTGAGCCACCCAGGTGCCCCAAAATTATAATGTTTGATAATATCTAGTACTAGCAAGACCAGGAAAGTGGGTGCTTTTTTTCTTGGTGAGAAGACTATATTGTGATACAAACTTGTCAGAAAGTAATTTGTTGTTGGCATATTTATGTTTTTAAAAATGCAAGCCTACGGACGCCTGGGTGGCTTAGTTGGCCAAGTGTCTGCTTTAGGCTTGGGGCCGTGATCCCAGTGTCCTGGGATGGAGTCCTGCATTGGGTTCCCTGCAAGGAGCCTGCTTCTCCCTCTGCCTGCTGCTCCTCCTGCTCATGCATGTGCTCTCTCTCACAAATAAATAAAATCTTTAAAAGAATAAAAGTGCAATCGCTTCTCAGCCTTTTGGCTAAGATCAAGTGAAGAATAAAAGTGCAAGCCTTTTATACCCCCAAGTTCTGAACACATAGTAACACGAATACATAAGGATATAGAGTGTTTCCTGCAGCATTGTTTGAAACAATAATACATTACAAATAGCTGAAATGTCCATCTGTGGAGGCACGACTGAATCAGTTCTGGTTTATGAGTTCAGGGGCGTGGAGACAGGGCAGCCACTGAAAACAATGAGCTGGATCTCTGTGAATGGACCTCAAAAGAGAACTATGATTTATTGTCAAGTTCAAGAAAAAGTTGTAGGTCAGCAGTCTGAGCTCCTGTTGGCACTAGAGGTACTTACTGTTCGGTGGAAAAGGAAGAGAATGGCCTTCATTCAGGCAGTGGCAAGGCCACCACGTCCTGGCAGGCCAAGGACGTGGCCCTGGGGGTACAGCGCTGACGGAGACACGGGTGCTGTCAGAAGTTCCCAACCTTGTGGTGGACGACGATCCCCGTGCTGCATCTTTGTGACAAGCAGAAAACCATGCAGAGGGAGAGAGAGAAATTCGGACAGGGAAATGGAAAGATAGGGTTTGCAGCAGAGGGTGAGTTCTGCAGAAAAGCAGAGAACTCTGGAAAAGAGATTGGAACCCTGAGATAACATCACAGAGGGTCCCAGGCCCCAGGCTGGATGGTCCTTTAGGGAGAGGGCTCTGGTCTGGGGCAGAGTGGGACTTCTCCCTGGCTCGGCACCATCTAGCCTTGCTGGTTGGAAGTGTGTGTCTCCTTGAGGCCTACAGTGAAAGCTTCCTCCCTTGTACTCATTTTCATCTATGGACCTAATGGTGGTGATTGTGCCCTTTCTTCCTTTTTTTCCCCCTCCTTAACTTTCATGACCCTTACTCATTTCCCCTAACCTGGATTTGAGGGGTCATTGAGATATGGAAGTTTTGTCAGGAGGTAAGGAAACAGAGTCATGGGGGTGTTCTTGCTGCCTTCTGACTTTATACCCTGTTTCCCACCTGCAGACCCTCTTCAGGTTGTGCCCAAGTGCTGTCTCACCCTGGGCACACACCTGTCACCAGCTTGGCCTGGGCGCCCAGTGGGGGACGGCTGCTCTCAGCGTCACCTGTGGATGCTGCTATCCTGGTGAGTTGGTCCCCACACTTCTTGCGGTCATCTCAGCCCCTCCTCAGACTTGAGGCAAGAGCATTCTTTACTTGGGGCTGTAAGATATCCTGTGGGGAGGAGAGGACTAATTGTCCATTTAGTGTTAGTGTTAAACTTACTCAGGGAAGAAGCAGTACCATTCAGATTCCTCAGATGTAAAATCCTGCTTGCTGTCACTGTACATATAAACCTATTCCCTCCTGTTTTAACAGTCCCTCTCCTGCTTCATCTCCTTTTTGTGTCTTTGTACTGTAAGAGCAGCCCGTGTGACAGGATGGGGATGCCGGAGCTTCCTCTCTCACTCCTGACCCCTTTGTCCTAGGTATGGGATGTCTCAACGGAGACCTGTGTTCCCCTTCCCTGGTTTCGGGGAGGTGGGGTTACCAATCTGCTCTGGTCCCCAGATGGCAGCAAAGTCCTGGCTACCACTCCTTCAGCTGTCTTTCGGTGAGTGGGAGGAAGCCAGAGGGAGAGGGAGGGCAAGGCTGACCTAGAGAAAGGCACTTGGCTCCTGGACCTTCAGCAGACAGAACCTTCTGTTCCGTTCCCATTCTCTGACCTGGCACCGGGACTGGCAGAGGGAGGGAAGTCCAGGTTTTGGAACCTAGAGGTCCTGAGTTGTGACCCGCCTTTCTCCGGCATAGGGTCTGGGAGGCCCAGATGTGGACTTGCGAGAGGTGGCCTACTCTTTCGGGGCGGTGTCAGGTGAGAGGAGACCGTGACTCAGCTGGGGAGGAGGCGGGTCCCAGGTGCCCCAAGCGTGTCTCCCCACATCCTCTGCTTTTCTTCCTGCATTCTCCTGCTGACCAGTGTTCCCCTGCCTTTTGCTCCCTGACCCCAGACCGGCTGCTGGAGCCCAGATGGAAACCGGCTGCTGTTCACTGTACTGGGGGAACCACTCATTTACTCCTTATCATTCCCAGAATGTTGTGGTGAGTCAGGGGAAGCAGCTCAGGATGCAGAATATCTGGGGTAGTCAGAGGGAGGCAGGAACCCTCCAGAATAGGCTACTCTGAAAGATAAAAGGAAGATTGAGAGGTGTTGATGCTTACAATGGATGTGAGGTAGAGGACCAGTGAGAGGCCCGCTTCCTGTACTTCATAGCCTCTGCCCTTCTTGTAGGGGAGAGAAAGGGGCGCGTTGGAGGTGCCAAGTCAGCCACCATTGTGGCTGATCTGTCTGAGACAACAGTACAGACACCAGATGGAGAGGAAAGGTGAGCTGAATGGCTGGGGCCGGGGGTGGGGGTGGCAGTGGGGGTGTTGGGGGTAGCGGGTAAGCAGTGAAAAGGTGGGAGGGACCATGCTGAGGCCTCCCAGCTAACTCTTCTGACTTATAGACTTGGGGGAGAGGCTCACTCCATGGTCTGGGACCCCAGTGGGGAGCGTCTAGCTGTGCTCATGAAAGGTAAGAGTTGGGAAGGACTTTGCTCAGGCCACAGCCCTCTTCTCATTCATGGAGGGTGTCAGTGTCCTGGCTATACTTCTCTGCCTTGCCTTGGGATTCTGCTTCCAGGGTGCCTTCCTATCCCATCCATTTCTCATAGGAAATCCACGGGTCCAGGATGGTAAACCAGTCATCCTCCTTTTTCGCACTCGAAACAGCCCCGTGTTTGAGCTGCTTCCTTGGTAAGTGCCACATCGGCCATCAGGTCTGAACTCCCTACTAGCCTTCCCAGGCCAGCCCACATCCTACTTCACTTGCCCCGTCTCCACTTGCCTGCTCACCTTCTCCCCCTAGTGGCATTATCCAGGGGGAGCCAGGGGCCCAGGCGCAGCTCATCACTTTCCATCCTTCCTTCAACAAAGGGGCTCTGCTCAGTGTGGTGAGTAGGCTGGGCTGCTGGGCTTTTGGGGAGCAGGGTGGAGGAACTGAGCGCTGTGGCTGCTGCGTGGCCCTGCCATGTGGTCTTCTTTGGGCCTAGGCTCTGGCTCTGATTGATTTTTCTTTCCTTCTCTGCAGTGCTGGTCCACCGGCCGAATTGCCCACATCCCTCTGTACTTTGTTAATGCCCAGTTTCCACGTTTTAGCCCGGTGGTTGGCCGAACCCAGGAGCCCCCAGCTGGGGGGGGAGGCTCTACTCACGATTTGCCCCTCTTTACTGAGACATCCCCAACCTCTGCCCCATGGGACCCTCTCCCAGGGCCACCACCTGCCCGGTCCCACTCTCCTCACTCCCACTTCTAATAATAAAAAGTCCCTTTTGTTGTTTTCCACTCGGTTACAAGACTTTTTCTCCAGGGAGTTGCACTAGTGTCTAGTGAAGGAAAAAAAGGCATGGACTTTGGGTTAAGATAGGGCTGTGTTACTTTTTATGAATTTGGGCAACTTATCGGACCCTAGGAACTGTGTGGTTTTCAGGTGATCTGGAAAGCAAAGCTGAGAAAATACCTACCATAGGCTTTGGCATATAATGGACATTTCACTTTCCCCAAGTTTCAGCAAGTTCCCAGAATGGTGCAGGACAGTAACAGGGTGAAGACTTGATCAGTACGAGATAGAGGATGTTTTATTGGTCTAGGGAATTTGTGGGAGGTTTAGGTACGGGGCGCTGGGCCAGGGTGGCCCGAGCCATGCTCAAGACACCTTCTCGGGTGTGGTGCCCACCAATGAAGCCGCTGGTGTGGACAAAGATGCAGCCAGGAATCCCACTGACCTTGTCCAGGGCCTCATCCCGAAGACCCCGCCATGGCTCTGGCAGGGGCAGCCTACGAGTGAACAGAAAGAGGAAGCTGCTGGGAGCAAATGGAGGTCTTGAGGAGCAGAGCACAGAAGAGGCCAAGGTTAGTGGCCCCCTCTGATAGGGCTGAAACAGGCCCGAAGGTCTGAGGGTGGTCCTCTAGGGCCTTACCGGCTCTGGAATGAATGGCGCTCCTTGGGCACACACTGTACCCGCCACTGTCCAGCCTGGTCAGTGTAGATAACAAAGGCGATGGTGCCCGGTGGGGACAGCCCAGATTCCAGGTGGTAGAGGTGCTCCTTCCAGGGGCATCCACCTTTTGCCAGTTCTACTATCTCCCCACTTGGGTCCACCTGGAAGGGAGGCAGGGCTGGGAGATGTGGGGTGGAAGCAGGAGCCCCTGCTGACCAACAGCCCGCCAGCAGTCCCTAAACGACGAACCACAGTGCCTCCTCCCAGGCCTGTACCTGGAATCGCCGGGCCAGGGCCTCTTCCACCAAGGTCCGGGCTGGCAGCCAGCTGTGTTGGTAGAAGTCTAGTCTCTGCAGAAACTCCTCTCGGACTAGGTCCATGGCGCGCTTGAACCCGGCCTGGGAATTGAGGGAAAGGTCGGAATCAGAACCACGGTACTGGCCCCAACTTTTGACTTCACTAGGATGGGAGGAGGCAACCACTCTAATTTCCTCCCCCAACGGGCTTACATGCCTCACGGTCTTCCTTGGGGCCTCTCCTTACCTCAGTGTCTTGGTCAGGCTGGTTCCAGGTCGGATTAAGTCGAGCAACCCTGGCACTCAGTGTGGTAGTCAGCACATACCTGGGCTCTCCCTCTTCCCACTGCGAGATCCCATTGTCCACCGCATCCACCTCCTCCACGAAGTTCTCGTACATCTAGGGCAGCACCAGGAGTAAATGATCTTGAGGATTCCATTTTCATCAAGTTTTACAGATTTCACTAATTTAATCTCCACAAGAGGCCTGTGAGGGTCTCCCAACATTCACTGGGTAAAGAAAGGTGGAACCAGGGAGCTCAGTGGCTTCAGGTGGGATCTGATCATGCTGGGGCGGGAATTCAGATCACCTGACTTCTAACCCAGCGCCCCCTCTGCTACTGCGCAAAGCCTGAATTGAGGCCAGCAGTGTGTGAGGTGGGGTTTTGGACTTCAGAACAAGGAAGGTCTCAAGTTCATGACGGCCTCTGGGAGTGGACCCCGGCACTGAGAGAGGGTTAAGTTTCCAGGTGGGCTGGGCAGGCTATTCAGTGTCCTGGTAAATGAGGTACTCAAGGGTCTGGCCAAACATGGGAGGTGGGAGAGTGAGTGCTGGACGAGACATCAGAGCTGGGATGTGGTCCCAGGGAAGCCCATGATGTACCCTGTAGTGGGAACAGGTGCTGCATCTCCTGAGGTCACAGGAAGGATAGGACAGTGCCTCAAGAGTCTGGGGGCAGGGACGCCTGGGTAGTTCTGTCAGTTGGGCTCAGGTCATGATTCCAGGGTCCTGGGATCCCTGATTCATTAGGCTCCCTGCCTCTCTCTCTCTCTGACAAATCTTGAAAAGGCTAGGGACAGAACCGGTATGGTACAGTATCAATGCTTACAGCAAAACTGCTCTGCACATAGGCTTACAACATCAACACATCTGTGGTATGCATCGGAATGCTCCTCTCGGGGAGAGCTGAAAAACTCCTTTATGCTCAGCCTCTCTTGGTGTGGACCCCAACCTGATGTTCAACTGAAACTTGGTATAATTTACTTCAGTTGCTTAGAAGCCCCTCAGCAGGGGGCAGGGGTGGCTCAGTCCACCCTTTAAGTGGGTTAAGTGCCTGCCTTCAGCTCAGGTCATGCCTGAGATCGAGCCTCACATTGGCTTCCCTGCTCAGCGGGGAGTCTGCTTCTCCCTCTTCCTCTGCTGCTCCCCTCACTCATGTACTCTCTCTCTCAAAAAACGAAAATCTAAAAAAAAAAGAAAAAAGGAAGCCCCTCAGCAGATGGGGAAATGGATCCAGGCAGTCTAAAAACAGTATTCCAAATGCTCCAATTCAACCATTCGTATTTCGTCACTTCTCTGGATCATACTAATGCCATGTCATAGGGGCAGAAGATAGGCAAGCTAAGACAGAACCGAACTCAGTGGATTCTGCAAAAACCAGAGTTGACGGAACCCGAAGCTTGACTGGTGAACATCACAGGAGCAGGGTCAGGTAGGTGTCCTGAGTCCCTGACCTGACAGGTGTGCCACAGCCACTAGCCCCATTCCTTCCCTCGAAGGAGCGTTCTGAGCTGCTCACAGGGGATGCTGGTGGAACCTGAGGATATTTTCATAATCCAACCTGTCCCAGTTGATCTTCCCAATTCATGTGTCCCAGATACGCTTCCCTCTATCTTCAGGCACCCAAAACCTCTAAGCTATGTGTTTTCCCACACAAGCAGCCTCCTCTATTACCACATTGCTCAACAATCGTTTTTTATGCATGTCAGGTCAAGGAAAGGACCAGGAAACTCTACTCTATGGTTTTCAAAGCCCTTCCCTGAACCTCACCCACTTCTCACAACTACCCTGGGATAGAGGTGAGAGAGATCAGCCATCCCCTGTGAGAAGCTGAGCCTGACCAAGGGAGAAGGTGCTGGGCCAGCAATGGGCCAGGAGTCCCGATCTGAGGTCCAGTCCTGCGTTCAGTTCCATTCCCAGGTGGTGGAGACGCACTTATGGGTCATCTCTGTCCCTGGGTCCCCACCTTGTCATAGATGGTGCCCACCATGCTGTCCTCTTCGCTGGTGCCCAGCAACTGGGCCAGCAGCTTGTGCCCGAAGTGCAGATAGATGAGTCCCGCACTGCTCAGCTTGGTCTGCCACGGCTTCCCAGGAGAGAGGGAGCTCATGGTCTCTGTGAAAGATCTGAGAAGTACAGGGAGGTAGGGCTGAGGCAGAGCTGCCCCAGTTAGCCCACAGTGTGTACGTGTACATGCAGGCATGAGGGAGTGGAGGCTGGAGAATACTCAGGAGTGGGGAGGAGGGGTGCCCAGCTGTGGGACTTCAGCTTTTCCTTGGGGTTCAACGTGGACCTCAGCTTGGAGTCTCTGTTCATGCTCTCATTTGACAATGGTTAATTCAGGGCTTACTACATGCCGGGCTTTGTGTTTTTAGACATTATGGATTAAAAAAAAAACCCTAAGACAGGGGCACCTGGGTGGCTCAGTTGGTTAAGTGTCTGCCTTCAGCTCAGGTCATGATCCCGGGGTCCTGGGATGGAGCCCCACATCGGGCTCCCTGCTCAGCGGGGAGTCTGCTTCTCCCCCCTCCCTCTGCCTGCTGCTCCACTCCGCTTGTGCTATCAAATAAATAAATAATCTTTCTTTTTTTTTTTTTAAGATTTTATTTATTTATTTGACAGAGAGAGATCACAAGTAGGCAGAGAGGCAGGCAGAGAGAGAGGGAGAGGGAAGCAGGCTCCCTGCTGAGCAGGGAACCTGATGCAGGACTCCATCCCAGGACCCCAAGACCATGACCTGAGCCAAAGGCAGCGGCTTAACCCACTGAGTCACCCAGGCGCCCCTAAATAAATAAAAAATCTTCAAAACAAAACCAAACCCTAAGACAATGGCCCTGCCTTCAAGTTCATCTACTATAGGTAGACAAGCACATGAACAACCAAGCGAATGCTCTAGCTAGGTTATAAACAAGAGAAAGGGGGACAGGAGGGAGGAGACACTTCAGGTCATTCCTAAAAGATGGATTAGGTGTTTGCCAGCCAGACAAAAGGTCAAGGACAAAAGGCATTCCTGGTAGATGGAACAACATCTCTTAAAATAGCTAAAAGACAGGTCTCTACATGGAACTGCAAGAAAGGCAGCTTGAGTGTGAGAAGCAGCAAAAAAATAAAGCTAGAAGGGTAAGCAAGGGCCAGATCATGGCAGGCCTTTTCCACCACAGTTTGGAGTCTGGACTTTATCTGTAGGTAGTGGGAGCCACTGAGAGATATCCAGCAGACAAGTTCATGTGAGAGCACTGTGCCAGCCGGCATGCAGAACAAACTCAAGGTCTCCTGCAGTGGTGCAGGGGAGAGAGGAAAGTAGAAATCTGAATTCACAGTGGCACAGAGAACAGGGGAAGGATACGATAGTTCTTAGGAAAGGAGAAACTACAGTTGTAATTTCTAAATATCAGTCTATCAGAATCAGCTAGAGAATTTATTTTTTGCTTTGGTGTTACTACGTACTGAGTAGATACAAAAAATATTTATAAAATGCTCACAAGATATAAAGACTAATACACAGTAAGCCCCCAGAAAAAGTTAAAAGAAGCTAAACTAAATTGTTGATGGAAAAGACATATGTGCTAAACTACACAGCAGGATGGGTATGAGAACAGAGAATTAAGGATACTGCTTACTTCTGGGGAGAAGGAACCGGGATAGGGAAGAAGTGCTTGTGTACAACACAAAAGTAATAGTACTGTTCTAGTCAGAGGTGGGAGATTGGCCTAGGGGTGTTTGTTACATGTTTCATATTCCAAAAGTGTTAAATACATTATGTATCAAATACTGCACAGTTCAAAAATGTATATAAAATCATCAGGAAAAAGGAATCAGTCAATATTGTTAAGTGCCACAAAGTGGTCCATTAATGTGAGATCCTCTGCCAGCCATCGGAGTTTGGTGCTGAGGTCACTGGAGCCCTTTCCATGAGCATTTCCAGTGGAGAGATTGGGAGAGGACCAGCTGAACGAATGAATGGAATGAACTGGAGGGGATGTGGAATCAGGGTCAGCTGTGTTTCTGAAGAGAGGCTGAGAAGGGAGGGTAAGATGTGAGGCTATAAATACCAGGAGGGTTCCCCCACGGTATCATTTAAGAACATCATGTGTACACGTAAGAAAAAGAGGGAAAGGGAGGAAAGTACTTAAGAAGAATTAAAACATCTTCATACCCTCTAAGAGATCACCACTTTAATCAGTGTGGTGTGTATGAGGGAGGGTTTTGTTACTCATCCCTTAGTTTTCCAAGTAGAAACAATGGGAAGGTGGGTGGAGGAGGCGGCTGGGTGGGTCAGTAGGTTTTGTCAGCCTTCCGCTCTGGATTTAGCTCGCTGAGCAGGAAGCCTGCTTCTCCCTCTCCTACTACTCAAGCTCTTTCTCTCTCTCTCTCAAATAAATACATAAAATCAGAAAGAAAAGAAAGAAAAGCAAACACTGGGGGAGAACGGTGGTGTGAACCCCAGAGGAGACAGTAATAGACCTCAAAAGGGGTGAACAGAAGGGAACAATGTTTCCTGAACTGGAGGGAGGAAGCTGAGGGTGCTTGGGAATGACAATCTGAGGATGTGCACGCAGGAAAGGCTCATTCCTTTCAAGAGGAGGTTGCAGGGTCACTTACTGAGGGAGTTTGATGTGGCAGTGGCCTGAGGGGAGAGGAAGAGGGCTGAAATGGTCCCGTGGATAATGGGCCACCCTTGGAAAAGAAAGATTTCCCAACCTAGCAGTATAAATGAAGTAGAAGACCACGTACATCTGAGTGGTCACCAAGCACTGTTGCCATGTGAGCACAGCAGTCTGAAGTGGGGCAGCAAGCGACATGAAAGGACTAATCTGAGCTGGGTAACTAACTGGGGTGAGGACAGTGCTAGTGGGAGAAAAGCCTGACTGAGCCAAGGAAGGCGCGTGGCCAGCAGGGAGGCTTGTGAGGACCGCCTGGAAGCCAGGAAAGCCCAAGGTCAGGTGGATGGATGCAGAGCAGGGGGAAAGCTGGCAGGCTGCAGTCCTATGGGACTCAGGACTTGGCTTTCAAGGAGGAGGCGGGTCCCCTTCGCGGGCACGGACCTCCGCAGTGGATGGCTGCCTTGGAGCACAGAGGACAGTTGAAGTCAAAGGAGCTAAAGAAATGCTATATGGGAACTCACCTCTGGTGATGGTCATACCGGTGTCTCTGAGGATCGTATTCACCACCCACATCCACCACGATGTCACAAGAAGCCAGTTTTTCGGGGTCCCGGGTCCGCACAATCTCTGCATCCTGTAGGGGACACAGGATTGAGGGGGCGGCCAGGGTCGTGCAGACAGAGAATGAGTGTTGGGTTTCCAGGGGAGTGTACGGAGGGGTGCTCAGGTGCGGCCCGCCCGGGCCCCGGGGTCAGTTTCCCTGGACGGGATCGTACTCTGTACTCGGGCAGGAGGCGCAGCAATGCGCACGCCAGGGCCTCATCGCAGTGGAAAGTGCCATTGTGCGTTCCGATTCGGGGAGGCGCCATGAGGCTGCCGCGGGGTCGCTTGGATGGAGGGACGGACTCCAGGCTGACCGTCACACCCGGCCGGGCCCGCGGGGGTGGCGGCGGCCGCAGCAGCAGAGTTAGAAGAACGCGCGGGAAGCGGCGTACCATGCAGCCTCCCAGGTTGGGGGGGAGGGGGAAGAGTGGGTCGTTGACCCGGAAGAGGAAGCGCCCGCGCAGCCTCGCTTCCGTCGGGCGGCCGTTCCCACGGCAACCGGCCGGCGGAGGAGAGCGCTCCGCAGGCTTGCTCCAGCTCCTCCAAAGGCCCAGAGTGGAGCCTTCGGGTTAAGCAAGGCATCACCCCTACTGAGCAGGCTCTGGGGAGGGGCACAGCATCTCCACCACCGCCCTCCCACCTCACCAGTCCTTTGCTTAATGCAAGAAAAGACCAACATTCTGCCCAGCTGGCACATTTATTAGCATGAAACACGAGACCGGTCTCTTCCCGGGCCTCAGGAAGCCACGCCAACAAAGTCCCAAGCTCCCGAAGCAGGGTCCCTCTGCCCCATTTCTGAAACAAGCTCTCAGGCCTTGGCAGTAGCCTGAGTTGCCCCCAGGGCTGTGAGCTGCTGAATCTTCTGGCTCATCATCTCCATGACAGCTGTGGGAAAAAAGAAGAGTCAGATCCTGGTCTGGAGCTTGGGGGAGAACCGAGAGTTCAGGAAATGTGAGAAAACATTTAAAGACAGGTAGACAACCAAGGACAGTTAATAAAACTTTTAACACAATGGGGGCGCCTGGGTGGTGTAGTCGGTTGAGCGTGGGGCTTTGTTTAGGCACAGGTTGGTTGTGATCTCAGAGTCTTGAGATGGGGCCCCACCTTGGGCTCCCCGTTCTGCATGGAGTCACTTGAGATTCTCTTTTCCTCTGCCCCTTCCCCCCACCCTGCTCATGCACTCTCACTCTGAAATAATTAAAAGACAAAACAAAAACAGAACTTTTAACACTGATCCACTGTGGGACACACTCACATGCACACACAGGAAGTGTGTGTCATGAAATATGATAGTGTGAAAGTGTCAGGAAATATGATAACCACTGAGACATAAAAATGAACAAAACACAGTATTAAATGTGTCAAACATAACTGTGGAAAGATTTTTGCCTTCAGAACAGTGATCTCAATCCTGACTGTGTAACAGAAAGGCCTGGGGAGGTTTTTTGTTTTTGTTTTCCTAAACATTTTATTTATTTGACAGAGATCACAAGTAGGCAGAGAGGTAGGCGGGGTGAGGGGAGTGGGGGGGTGGGCAGTGGGGCTCAATCCCAGGACCCTGGGATCATGACCTGAGCTGAAGGCACAGGCCCAACCCACTAAGCCACCCAAGACACCCTTACCTGGGGAGTTTTTAAAAAAAAACACTGACCCCCTGGAATTTCCCCACCCCCATCCCCAGGTTGATTTAATTGGTTTGGATTGGACTCAGGCTTCCTTTTTAAACCTCTTGGGTTATTCTCATATGTAGCCAGGGCAGCAATGACTAGCACTTAGGGTTGTATTTCTTTCCTCTGTGTTCATTTACATATATCATCTCCCCCATTCCATCCCGATTAGATAGGACACCCCAAGAACTAAGATTATTTCCATCCTCTAAATTTCTCAAGCACCCAACCCAGCAATCTACAAATACTGGGTATGTAATGCACAGAATCTAGAGAATCCATCTAGACACCAAAGAGAAACACATGATTTTAATCTAGCAAAGAGGACACCCTCAGTTGATACTGGACTCCATGTTCTTTATCACGGAGGTAGAAAGGGTGAAGAGGAGCCCTAGGCCAAGCTTACCCTGTTTCATGGCATGCTTCTCCTGCAGAGCTGGCTGGATTTTCTCCATTTGCTTGGTAAGGAAGTCTATCTTTCTCTTGAAAAAGTCCTTGGCATCCTCAGCTGTCTGCAAAGTCAGAGGTAAATGAAGGGCTAAGAGGAGACTCTATGCTGCACTCTAGGTCTTCCCCTAAACTTCCTTTCCCTGCTCAGATGGGCATCCACGTGGTTACTTTCCACTCACCTTTTCTACATAGTAGCCTGTTCCCACATCGATGAGTACATGTTCCACATCATGTAGCTTCCCAGGGACATACATCTGAGAAGCAAGGATTAAGGGAAAACTAGCCCAGCAGGAGTGTCATGATTCCCTGTCAGCTAGCCTGCTTGGCTTTCTTTTCTAAAAACCTACAATCCACAAGGACTGAAGAATCTGGAGGCCTTTGAACCATACCTGTACACTCTAAATGGGAAGGGACAGAGAAGTTGGTTCCTTATGGAGACAATGGCATATGCCAGAACACTCTCTTGCTCTGATCTCATCTCCCATCCTCCAAGCAGTTCTTACAGTTTTTCCCACTAGCCCCTCCGGAAGGACTAGATACAATGATATTTTCCCACTGCTGTAGAGTAGTAAAAGTGAAAACGTGGCTTCACTTTCCATCAACATCCCCAATCATGAAATCACTAGCTAATTCCTGATGAATTTAATGCCCACTATTTGGCCAACCCCTACTACACTACTTCTGTATTTCTTTTTCAGCCTGTCAGCTTTCAGACTACAGCTTACAGATGCTCTGTGGCCATAATTTATTCAAGTGAAACACGGAACGGGTAGCCAAAATCCAGGCTTCTTGGTAACAATAGTTTAGAAATAAGTGTCACAATTAAGCCAAAACTGAGGATTCATAAACAGAGTCCCCTTGTTTCTGTATCTTACTATTCTTCCATCGTTTAGGTCTTCTAAGTTATTAGTAAAAGTCTAAACCCACCTGTTTTGTCTTTGTATTAGAGGATATTCCCAAACCGCAAAGGGAAATAATCACACCTCAATTCTACATAAGGCTTCGTGCTCACAAGGCATTAGCTGCATGTTGGCCCCAGACAAGGAGAGGTACAAAGAGTATATAAGAGTATTCTCAGAATCATGGGGACACTCCGTAGTAATCAAAAGTAATCCCACCCCACCCCCACCCGCCCAGGAAAGGGGTGAGAGAGAAAGGAGAGAGCAGGGTAGCAGTTTCTGTGGCAAGGATACAGAACTCGTCAGTGGGACGAGTAATTCTTTCCCTGTGAAAGCAATTAAGACAAACATCTGGGGAAGGTTAAGACGTTAAAGGGAGTTCCAATATGGCAGAGATAGTAAGAGAGATCTTAAGCACGGAAACAGGGGACAACAGCCGAGGAATGTCCTGTACATTTCAACTCTAGATAGACAACATGAAAGGGCTCATGTAGCGGTAGACAATATGTAAAGGTTTGGTTTCTCATCTCACATAAGGGCAATTGGATTAGAAGTCTGGACGAGAGTAGCCGGCTCACCACATCCCCCAGTTGCCTTCACGCGCCTACCCCATACCCTCGTTGTTCTTGTTCAGCACGTTCAGACAGTCCTTGGCTTCCACATACTTGGTCTGTACCACCTTGAGCTGGGCAATAGACGTGGACAGGAACTCCATCTCCTACAGAGTCCGGGAAATAGGGTCAGTGTCGGGGCTGGAGAGAGAGGGAGGCACTGCCGGGGAGGGGGCCGGTCCTGGGATGGGATGGGATGGGAGTTTCGGAGGGGAGGGGAAGCCTCCCAAAAGAGGGGAGGAATGGGAGGCGAAGGAGGACGCGTGGGCGGGAGACATGTGAGGCGGGAATGGGGTGTCTCTGCCGCCCGTCCCCACCTGGTCCAGCTGGTTCTTGAGCATTTCTAGCTGCGGCAGGTTCAGCTCGCTGATGTTAACTGACTGCGCCATGTTGGGAAGGAGGACTAACGGAGCGGAAGCTGGCTCGACGAGCAACGCTCTAGCCGCCCTCTGCGCATCTCCATGGCTGAACCAAGAGGTCTCGCTGCGCCGGACGTCTCTATGGTTCCCCCGCCCGGGCAGGGAAGGAAGGGCTGGAGCTTTTGGGAGACTTACATTGTTTTGGCGAAAGCGGCACATTATTTTTACAAAACCTCCCACGCCTACCATAGTCAAATTGGAGCAAACAGGACTGCTACCCTCAGGGAGCTTAAAAATCTTAGAAATACCCAGCTCATAACCACAATATTGCAAAGTGATGTATGCTACCCTGTGCGGATGGTATAGTCCTAATGAACCACAGGCAAGGAAAAAAGCCTGTGAAATTCACGGGTCCGTAGCATCGTGAACGTGGTGCTTTGGGCTCACACAGCGGAAAAGTCTGTTGGTGGAGAGAACGATAAGGAGTCACGTTATCAGCCAACAAGTACGGCACAAGACTTATTAATCAAAACTGTTTTACCGTGTGTTAGATGTGAGGGATAACACGAGAGTGTAAGATAATGTGCTTCCAAGGAATTCAACAGTCTGGTTGGGGAGAGAAAAACCATACGCTGCTAAAGTTCAGGACCCTGAGGAGTTTAACAGGCATATGTGGGGAGAGAACAGTGGCCTTTTTTTTTTTTTTTTTTTTTAAAAGAGGGGTTCCTTATTAGAGAGGGGTTCCTGGGTGGCTCAGTGGGTTAAGCCTCTGCCTTTGGCTCAGGTCATGATCTCAGGGTCCTGGGAGCCCCACATCGGGCTCTCTGCTCAGCGGGAGTCAGCTTCCCCCACCACCCCCACCTGCCTCTCTGCCTACCTGTGATCTGTATCAAATAAATAAATAAAATTTCAAAAAAAAAAAAAAGATTTTATTAGAGAGCGCTTGAACTCTGCAAGCTCTTCTCACCTCTTTACCACATAGTGGGAGGAGGCAATAATTGTCTTCAGATGTTCTCGGATGAACCACACAAAATGGGTTTAAGTACGACATCTTTATTATATTAAGGTTAAATAAAAGGGAAAGCCTTCATATAAAACACTGGGAAAAATCACTTAAAATATTTATCCTAAGGGTTAAATCCAATAGGAGGTAGAACAGTCACATGGCTTCCATCGGCGCTAGGACAGCTCCAAGGGGTCATCGCAGGCAGACAGGCAAGCCATATGCCACAGGTGCGGCCCCAATAAGGTACTTCAGTCGGGGAGCCTGGCGGGCCTGGTTGACGTAGTAGAGAAGGGGGGCTCCTGGGCCCGCTCCAAGCCAGCCCTGCAGCAGGGCCTCTGTGTACCGGTCGATGTCACGGTCAGTCACATCCCAGAGGTTACCCAGAAACAGGGGACTGGGAAAGGAGAAGGAAGAACTACAAAGTG